CCATCATCTTCCTCTCCGGCTGCTACACCGCTGTGGCCGTGGCCTACATCGCCGGCTTCCTCCTGGAGGAGAGGGTGGTCTGCAACGAGCGCTTCGCTGAGGACGGTTCCCGGACTGTGGCGCAGGGCACGAAGCGGGAGGGCTGCACCATCCTCTTCATGATGCTCTACTTCTTCAGCATGGCCAGCTCCATCTGGTGGGTCATCCTCTCCCTCACCTGGTTCCTGGCCGCCGGCATGAAGTGGGGCCACGAGGCCATCGAGGCCAACTCCCAGTACTTCCACCTGGCCGCCTGGGCCGTGCCAGCTATCAAGACTATCACCATCCTGGCCCTGGGGCAGGTGGATGGGGACGTGCTCAGCGGCGTCTGTTTTGTGGGCATCAACAACGTGGACGCACTGCGGGGCTTCGTGTTGGCTCCCCTGTTCGTTTACCTGTTCATTGGCACCTCCTTCCTGCTGGCCGGCTTTGTGTCCCTCTTCAGGATCCGGACCATCATGAAGCACGATGGCACCAAGACAGAAAAGCTGGAGAAGCTTATGGTGAGGATAGGGATCTTCAGTGTCCTCTACACGGTGCCGGCCACCATTGTCATTGCCTGCTATTTTTACGAGCAAGCTTTTAGAGAACAGTGGGAAAGGAGCTGGGTCACACAGAGCTGTAAGAGCTATGCCATCCCCTGTCCTAATAACCACAGCAGCCATCACCCGCCCATGAGCCCCGACTTCACCGTCTTCATGATCAAGTATCTCATGACCTTAATTGTAGGCATCACCTCGGGCTTCTGGATCTGGTCTGGGAAAACACTGAACTCCTGGAGGAAGTTTTACACCAGACTGACCAACGGCAAGCAGGGGGAAACCACCGTGTGAAACCCCAGCCCGCCAGGCTGAGGGGAGACCGCCTGGGCGGCCGGGCGGCTGCGAGAGCCGGGCGCCGCTCGCCAGTGCCCACCGCGCCTGCCAGCCGGTGGTGCAGAGATACTTGTGCTTATCCAGCCTCAGCAAACTTTCCGGACTGCTAGTCGTTTCTGCAGGCTACGGGGAACAGAGAGGAAAAAAGAGTCAGGTGGGAAACTCCTGAGCTTGGGACAGAGTAGTTGTTTTTCTCGCTCTCTCTCCTCTCTCTCACTGTCTCTCTCGCTGTCTTCTGTCGGAACTGAACGTACTGTAAGGTTGGGGGCGAGGGATGTAAATAGCCTCTGTAAGATTTTGTAAGTATATTTGTATTTAAATTACAAAAAAACTCACTTTTTTAATTATTTAGGACATTTTTAATCCATTTGCAGATTTTGCTTCCTCCTTCCTCCCCCCCCCCCTTTTTTTTTTAATGGCATTGGATTTTTATTTTGTAGGGCAGGATGGGAAAAATTGCCAGTAAAAGAAACCAAAACAAACCCCTTTCTTCTCCCCCACACAGGTTTTGTAATGGCTTTGCTTGGAGTTTCAGTTGCATGAACAGCAGGGCCTGGACTGAGGCTGCTGTGACTGCCTAGGGCGCCTCCTGACACAGGCTGGGTCCTGATCCCAGCCTGCCCGAGGTATGTGGAGGTGGGGGGGGGGGTGGGGGGGGGCGG